ATATTTAATATAGTAGCTTAATATTGATGCATGGTTAAACTGAAAGAATATGCTTATGAATTATTCTAGAAACCATTCGTAATCAATAAACCTGTTTTATTAAAAAATCAGTACTGAACGGACCATCATCTTTTCTAAGTAAAGTATGCTGCTGGTGGCAGCGTGTCAAGAGGTTTTGGATTGCCTTTGTGAGCTCTGTGTTTGGGAGGCAAACAGGGGCCACAAGGGCGAACTTCACAGGCATAATCAGAGGTCAGCTCATTCACAATGGTGCATAAATCATGTGGTCAAGAGAAAAAGAAAGAAACCAGTCTTTCCCCAGCCCAAATGAAACAGGAGGACAAATGCCCATCCAATTGCACCCAGATGTTTCTAAAAAAAATTCAGATTTGTTTGTTACATATGCATCAATGAATCCATATTCTGAAAGTGTGTGAAGGGAAAACATGCAGAGTTTTCTGCAAGTTCTGTTTAAGTGTTTTATCTGAGAGTGAGTGTATGGTGTGCTATTGTGTGTGCTTTACAACCTCTGTACTGACAATTATGATCTAAAGTTGTTAGCAGTGGGGAAAGGTAATCAAATGGTCAAGAACTGAATGTTGTTTATACTTTCCAGTTTGATAGTTGTTTCTAAGACAATATTGCATCTTCTGCTACCGAGGAAACATTCTTATTTTATCATGTGAATATTTTGACTGATTAATGAGGATAGTCTTGCTGTACTGTACCAAGTCACCTGATTTTTGTATGTGTTTTATATTATGGGATATTATGGAGCAAAGGAGGATTGAAATGAATAATCTAGTTTTTCTTACATTTTTGTGTTCTAAGACTATCATTTGAAAAGTTGTATTTTAAAAGTGATGTGTGTCTGCAAGAAAGGATTTTTTTATGGGCCCATTTTCACTACCCAGTATGTGGTGTAGTGGATAGAGTGACAGACAAGGACTCAAGAGGCCTTGGTTCAAATCCCCACTTGGTTCAAATCCCCATGGAAATGCATTGGTTTGTGTGTGGAACTGGTAGAACCACTTCTTAAAATATTTTTTACCTTGAAAGTCCTGTTAAGGTTGTTATAAGTCAGCTCTGACTTGATGGCACATAACAAACAAAACAAATCTCTGAGACAAAAACATGCATAGAAATCTACAAAGCAAAGTTATGTTTTAAAGTATCCTGGATGATAATTCCACTTACCATATAATAACTCTGCTGGGATATTTTAGATTCTGCAGAACTGATACATGATTTATTTTATCAAAACTCAGCTGCCATGCTTTTAGCTGGGAGTAAAGAAATGTGTTGCCATTCTTTGTGTACTCTCTCTTTCTCTCTCTCTCCGTCTCATAATTCTCAGGGGACTTGTTACTGAATAATGCTTGAGGTGCTCTTTGGACTATAAGCTTAGTCAGAACTGGCCAAACACTTGTAGCAGGGGATGGCAAAGTTACTTTTGGCGGGGACTATAAGTCAAAGGATATCCCAACCAGGAAGGTCACTGGTCATGCTAGCTCATTACTAGTTATATAATACTCATATGAGGTGGGGCATGTACTGTATATTGTATAGGGTGTTGTTGATTTAACTATTTATCTCCTTTGCAACAGCATCTGAGGACAGAATGCAGACATTTGCTCTAAGATATGGCAAATAAAACGTAGCAGTATTATTAGGCTTCAGCCAAAACATTGACCCAGATATATAAGAATGGAAGAAAATGAAAAGAACCCTCTTGGGCCGAACCAAAGGACTAACTACCTAATCTAGCATTCTGTTTATACAGTGACATGGAAGATTTAGGCTTTCTATTTCCTAGCACCATTTCAGAGGAAGATGTCTCACCTCCTTGGACCACAAGCTTCTCCTCTACAGTCAAGTGCCTATGGGAACCCACAAGCAGGACATGGCAACCGTTGGACCATCTTGCTTGTCTTCTCTAGGCAGACTGACTCTGGTACTGATCAGTGATATAAATATATACCTTGATGCTTAAAAGCTAGAGATAACCTTCCATAGATTTCTCTTATCAGCTTTAAAAGCTGCCCAAGATGGCAGTGAGCACTACATTTCGTGGTAGCAACTTCTACTCTGTATTGTGGAAAAACTTACTTTCACTCAAAGATGTCAGTCGCATCCCCAATTTCATTCTTAAAATCACACTGAGTGTTTTGCCAGGAAAGTCACTACCATGTCCCAGATACTAAATTGCTTTTGGAGGCATACATTGTCCCAAAGAGTGATTCTCTGAAGGAGTCTGCCCATTGTAATATTGCTAGATTGTTTTGTACTAAGTCCTCTTTGACATAAGAGAAAGGCACCATCATCAGCACTGACTAGACTCCAGTTAGACATATGTTGATGTGATGGGCTTACTTCCAGGCAGGTGAATACAGAATTGCAGTCTAAGGTCTTCTTGAAATGTATAGGGTGTTCAGTGCAAGCAAATTAAGACCCACTATTTGGAAAAGATTTATGCATAGATGATTAAAGTTGGAGTGAAGAGAATAGTTTTTGTGTGTGATGTGTTCAAACTGGAGATTATTCACAGGAAAGCCACTTTAGAATAATGAAAGATTTACATTTTAATCCTGATCATTCCCTTGCCCTGCATATTTGTAAAGTCGCTGTGTTATGTTTGTGTTTTTCTGCCATATGTGTTGTCCTTTACACATCATTTACTACTATATCAAATCTAAAGGTGCATCCAAATGTGTGCTCTTGCTGCAATTCACTGAATGTTGAAAAAGAAAAAGAAATGAAAATGATAAAGAGGGCAGGATAATGGCTTGGAAAAAGCAGATTTGTTTTCAAAGTACATTTATTTTTTTTTCCTTTTTTAAATTTTTTAATTTTAATATATATACACATATACATACACATACATAGACATATATGTACACACGTATGCCTAAATCTCTGTCTACAAACAATACATACTGTAAAGCTTAGCCTACAAGCCTTTTGTATAATAACACATTTCTTTCAGCAGTGTCTTCTCCTCATTATTCCTTTTGGTCACTTACTTTCTATTTATTACAAAGTTTTTGTTTTCCACCATTCATAGAACATGTTCCAGCTTTCATAGTAAGTTGATTTTTCTTGCCCTTTTAGTCTCTTTGTAAGTCTGTCCATTTCTGCGCACTCTAATATTTTTTAATAATCAATTCGTATTTTTGGTGGGTCTCCCTTTTTCCATACTTGTGCCCATGCTAATCTAGCAGCTGTTAGGACATTTCTTTGTGTAGAAAGAAACAGGAAATGCACGAATTAGCAGGACATCAGATGAAAAAGTTTAGTGGTTTAGGTAACTGACTGCATAACCAGAGATCAGGAATTCAGTTCTCCACTGTGAATCCTTGGCAGGGTCCAGACTTGTTGATCCATGGTATCCCTTCCAACTCTGCAGCTCTAAGATGATGATGAAAAACTGTTCATCTCAATGAACTCTCTAAGGCTGATCAACTTGGATCAAATATAACAGAGTATGAAATTGAGGAATGCTTTAGAAAGGACATAACTAGAATATTTTCTGAAGAGTTGCTCATTAGAGATACTCAGCTGCATCCATATAGGCTAATCAATGCTGTGTATTTTGGACAGACTGTACACAAGGCACTTCTCAACACAAGAAAAAAAATAAGAGAATTCATCTCTGTCCTTGCTTTGTAAGTTAGTTATGATGTGAACATCACTTGCAAGGTTTTGAGATGTAGGTGGCACTGTTAACTATGGAATCTATAAAGTCAAATTCTCTTTCACCATGAAAGGTACCTGCAGATGTGATTTTGGTTTGTTCATAAACGCATTATTTAGCAGAACTAATTACTCAGTATTTTGTGGGGAAAATGCACTGTAGTATACGATTTTCATAATAGTTCTTTACTTAATGTTATATACACAGTCCATTTTTAATATTCTTCCTGTTAAGTGGTTTGTGGAAAATAAATTCACTGTCTGATTATGTTTATATATGCATGCATTGGATTTTTAAGGATGAAGACCTGATTTGTTCTAGGGTTCAGTGAGGCTTAGACCTGGCAAATATTTTCTATGTCAGAGGTCAATAAATGAACATGTCCATGAAAAAAAAAATGTAAAGTTGATTTTTCACACCAACAGAGTCACCACTAATTGCAGATGTAAAGAAAGAGCTTTTGGATAATCTAGGTCAGACCACGGTGTTTCTATATAGACACAAATTCCATAATCTCAATTTCAAACCATGGGAATGCTACCTTTTTGGATTACAACTCCTTTAACCAATATTTAGATCACCTCTTCAAGAATCTCTATGGCAGTTAGTATTCTGGGAGTAGTCCAAAAATTAACCTTCCAAACTGTTACAAAACTACCCCAGATGAAAGCTTTCACTCCTACTTACTGTGAAAATTGAGTGTCCTTATTCCAGCATATCAAAAATAGCCTTAAAATATTTTATTTACAGATTTATGACAACATATTGTTTTAACTAAAACAATTCCTTTTCACATTATGTGAAAATTAGGTAATTTTGCAAGAAAGGCCATGATTGAATGATATACTTCTGATTGCACAAATAACTTCAGTGAGTAGGATCAGGAAGGCATGAGAATCACTATGCTGTAGATTTTTGGTGTCATACAGGTCTATGGGAGGCAGAGGGGAGGGTTGCTGAAGAAAGTCCCAAGATTACTTTGAGCACAGCTGTGGATTTAGCCCCTAATTTTAAAAATGCCATTCCTGCATTAAGGATTTTTTGGAAGTTTTAAAGTGATTTAAATAACATTGAAGTGAACATCAATGTAAAATGTAAAACAGGCCAAATTATATCTTCAGAATCCTTTTCTCAATAGTCTATATTTATTGTGTAATAATAAAGTTACTGTCATTGATTGAGTTGCTAAGTATCATTCAGGATTAGTGATCTTTAGATGTCATTGTCATGGTCTTTCAACTCTAACAGGATGCGTGTTTCTTGGTACTTTAGCTATTCATCTTGTCTCCTTGTCACTTTTTCCTAGGATGGTGTTGGTGTAGATGAGAAGTTGTCTTTAAGACGAGTGGCTGTTGTTGAAGATTTCTTTGACATAATCTACTCCATGCATGTGGAAACAGGGCCCAATGGAGAACAAATCAGAAAGCATGCTGGACAAAAGAGAACGTACAAAGCAGTAAGTAAACCATCTGACATTAACTATAGTGCTACACCTCAACACTGTTATCAGAACTGAACAGAGTTGTGATAAGACCTGTTTTGCAGTACTAGTGGCCCATGTATGCTTAATAATTACATAAGTTTCTGTTGAAATAAATGATTCTCGAAAAGATCCACAAGCAATTCAGTGTCTTTACTGAAAAGAGATGCTCCTGCATTTTTGGATTTAAACATTTGTACTTACAGCTTTGTAAATAACTGCAAGAATGGTTGTTAAAGTAACATGTCTGTAACTTTTCAAAAAGTTACATGTTTTCAATAACTCTTGGATAATGAGACAAAGAAGCAATGTAGATAAATAAAGCTTGGAAAATTGGACAAGCTGGTATTGCTTAGAATTACTGCAACAATGAAAAGACTGTTACTTTGATACTCAAACTTAAATAGGACTGAGATTGTTTGGTTTCATTCTGAAATTAGCTCTTTACTAGGATAAATGTCAGCTGTGATGAACAACATGCTTCTGATCTTTTCTGAGAGGGTCTATATACAGTCAGCTGAAAATGAAAGTACTGTACACTCTCTCTGAATTCTATGGTTTTATGTATCAGGACATAATAAAAATCATCTAGTCTTTGGCAGATAAATACAGTCTTAGATGAACAGCAACACATATGTTACATCATATCATGATATATTCTACAAAAATAAAGCCAAAATGGAGAAGCCATGTATGAAAAACTAAGTACACCCTTAATGCTTCCATAAAAATTAAGGGGCTAAATAGCAGCCAGGTGCTGCTACCCAAATAGCCTTGAGTAATTGATTATCAGCAAGTGTAATCACCTCTATAAAAGCCAAAGTTTTAGTAGTTTGCTGGTCTGGAGCATTCAGGTGCGGGTTAATACAATGCCAAAGAGGGAACACACCGGCAATTATCATAGAGAAGCAATTGTTGCTTCCCATCAATCTGGGAAGGGTTATAAAGCCATTTCCAAGCAATTTAAATCACATAATTCCAAAGTGAAGAAGATTATTAAGAAGGGAAAAATATTCAAGACAAGACAGTTGCCAATCTTCACAAGAGTGGACATAAAAGCAAATTCACCTCAAAGTCAGACTCCAATGCTCAGAGAAAATTGCAAAAACCTCAAGAGTTACAACTCAGACTCTACAGGCCTGAGTCAGCATGTTAAATGTTGCAGTTCATGACAGTACAATCTTCTCTCTTAAAAGAACTTGCAGCATGGCTTAAGTTTGTAAAGTTGCATATGAACAAATCATAAGATGTCTGGAACAATGTCCTTTCAACAAATGAGACCCAAGTGGAGGTGTTTGGCCATAATGCACAGCATCACATTTGGCAAAACCCAAACAGAGTATATTAGAACAAACACCTCATATCAACTATCAAGCACGGTACTGGAGGGGTGATGATTTGGACTTGATCCAGGACCCAGGCACCTTGCAGTCATTGAGTTGACCATGAACTCTTTTGTATACAAAAGTATTCTAGATTCAAATGTGAGGCCATCTGTCCGACAGTTAAAATTTGGCCAAAATTGAGTTGTGCAACAGGACAATGATCCCAACTATACCAGCAAATCTACAACACAATGGCTGAAAAAGAAAAGAATCAAGGTGTTGCAATGTCCCAGTCAAAGGCCAGACCCCAACCTGATTGAAATGCTGTGGTGGGGCAGAGAACTGTGCATAAACAAATACCCACAAACCTCAATGAAGGCAGCAAGGTTGTAAAGATGAGTGGGCCAAAATTTTTCCACAATGATGTGAGAGACTGATAAAGTCATACAGAAAATAATTACTTCAAGTTATTGCTGGTAAAGACGGTTCTACAGGCTATTGAATCATTGGGTGTACTTAGTTTTTCACATATGGCCTCTCCATTTTGGCTTTATTTTTGTAAAATAAATAATGACACAGTATGCCATGTGTTGCTGTTCATCTGAGGTTCTATTTATTTAATTTTCAGACCTGCTAAGGACTAGATGATTTTTGTTTTGTCCTATATGTAAAACCATAGTTTTCAAAAAGGGTGTACTTTTTTCACATGACTATATATAGAATTCTGTGGGAAGTCAAGCCCCCTATTTAGAGGTCTGACAGAGTTATACATGTGTATACCATCTAAAATACAATCTAAAATAAAGTTTTGGTTGTTTTACCTCTGCAGTTCCTGATTCCTTTATTTTCTGACAAAGAAACAATTTGTTCATAAGGTGGACTTCAAATTTTATTGGCCTTTCCTGTCAGTCCACTTGTGATATTCCAGCATTCTTCTTATCATTTAAAATAGCTTTGTGTTGTTGTTTCTACTTATATACTGCTCCATAGTGCTGAAGCACACTCTTGGCAGGTTACAATATAATTATGCAAATAATACTTTGCCCCCCTGAAATGAGCTGAGTTCATTTTGCTAACCTCAGAAGGATGAATCAACCTTGATCCAGCTACTTGAATCTGTTAGGATGGAACTCAGATTATGAGCAGAGTCTTGACTGCAGTACTGCAGTTTAATCACTGCACCATGCAGCTTGTTAGCTTACTTTTTGAACTCTGCCCTCTGTACCTCCATGACTTCTTGGTACCACTAAATGATGTATTTTTACATCACAATGGAACTTTGTTGCCAAGAGTGAAAAGGTTGCCTTTGGCTTAACTCAGCAACCCAGGAGCTAGCCACTTTGAAATAAATCAGCAGAATATTTAAGGCATCACTGGATTTGAATTCCAAGGACCTTGCGCAGTACTTGGTAAGTAATCATTCATCTTTTATAGAATGAAATAGCTAGCAAAGTAGATGAGCTTTCTTCCTTGAGAGAGACTGGGACACTGGAGAGAGAAAAGAGAAATACTTTTTGTATAGTTCTGCACTGGAGAGAGAAAAGAGAAATACTTTTTTGTATAGTTCTATTTATTTATTTATTAGATTTATACCCTGCACCATCTGGCAGCCAGGCCCCTCTGGGCGGCTAACAACAACAAGACAAACAACACAGTACTAAAACACAGTAAGAATAAGATAATGCAAATATTCAGTAACAACAACAAGACAAACAACACAGTACTGAAACACAGTAAGAATAAGATAATGCAGACATTCAACAGATACAATAACTAGTAGGATAAATCAAAACAGATGGCTGTAAAGATGGTAGAAAGGATGATGAAAGGATGGCAGAAAGGATGATAAAAGGGAAGCAGAGATATCAGCAGCTTAATTCTCAGGGAAAGCCTGGTGGAAGAGCCAAGTCTTCAATGTTCCTTTAAACCCGTCCAATGAGGGTGCCAGGCGTATCTCCATGGGCAGGTTGTTCCACAGGTGGGGGTGACTGCTGAGAAGACCCGGCTTCTTATTCTTTCCCTCCGGGTCTCCTTTGGGGTCAAGGTCCTCAACCACCCTGCCTGTGAAGAACGGATATTACGGACAGCTCTAGCTGGGAGCAGGTGTTCTGCTAGGTGCCGAAGTCTTAAACTGTTTAGGCCTTCATTATAATCATGAAGTCCATGTGGAAACAAACCAGTGGCTCCCCGTCTTTGGAATAATCTCCCCTCCGAGATCCACTTGGCCCCTTCGCTGGGTATTTTCAAAAACCAACTCAAAACTTGGCTATTTAGGCAGGCCTTCCCTCCGGGCACCACTTGGTTTATCCTTTATCTCCATCTTGAATGATTGTTCACTGTTGTGAAATTGTTGTTATATGTTAACTGTTTTTCTTCTAAATGATGTGAGCTGCCCAGAGTAGACATTGTCTAGATGGGCGGGATACAAGTTCAATAAATAAACAAATAGCCAATGAAGAGTGGCCAGAATGGGGGAGATGTGCTGAAATTTCTTCACCCCATTTATTAATCTGGCCGCCAAATTCTGAACCAGTTGTAGTCTCTGCATCAACCTCAAGGGTAGCCCAATAAGACTCAGAACCCGAATCACATTTACATCTTATTGTAGTGAGTCAGTTCAAATATGTTAGGGCAGTGGTCCCCAACCTTGGGCCTCCAAATGATCTTGGACCTCAACTCCCAGAAATCATGGCCAGCAGAGGTGGTGGTGAAAGCTTCTGGGAGTTGGAGTCTGGAGGCCCAAGGTTGGGGACCACTTGTTAATTCTGAGAGCAATTCTGTCATGAGGCCAGACTCTGTTACAAGTATATTAGTTGAATCATCTAAGGTTGAATGATTAAAACTGTGATACTAGAC